TTTGTTATAAACATCTAGCTTCTTCATGTTTATAGGATTCTCTTTTTCGAATTGTAACACACGCACATTGTGATACATTGATATATTATAATTGCTTGCGATTACAGGATTAGATGCATTGTCTACTAACAAACAAATAATAAATGGAATCCGATAGAGAAGGGCGATCTCTAAATGAAGACATTACCAAAAATGAGGAATTATTAAGACAATATTTAGAATCCACTGAAGATGTGAGTTCTGAAATACAAAACGACATAGGATGGTGCTATCAATATGGGATAGGTATTACAAAAGACGACAAAAAAGCATATGAATGGTATTTAAAAGCTGCCAAAAAAGGAAGTTGTCGTGGATATAACAATCTTGGTTGGTGTTATGAAAATGGCATAGGTGTCGTTGAAGATAGAAATAAAGCATATAATAATTATTTAAAATCCGCTGAAAGTGGACAAAATAACCTTGGGCGTTGTTACGCAAATGGAATAGGCATTGATAAGGATGAAAATGAAGCATTTAGATGGTTTCTAAAATCAGCCAAACGTGGCAATTTTAGTGGACAATTTAATCTTGGTTTATGCTATAGGAATGGTAAAGGTACATCTCAAAATATGGAGGAAGCCATAATATGGTTTAGAAAATCAAGAAGTAATCAACAGCAACTTATAGATTATGAAAATCTGGACAATGACCTTGTTAAATTTCTAAAAAATACACTAAACGAAAACAAATATCCATTGCTTTGGATTCCATCCAACGAATTAAGAAACAAACAAAAAATTTTTGGAAAGGCCATATTTTCTGCGAAGTATTCTGCTGAATGGACATATTTACATAAAACTGGAGTAAGAACAAAAATGGTCATTCTAAAAGTAATTTATAATTCTAGAAATAACTGTGAATTACTTATTAAAGAGGTAAGGATTTTAGTAAGCTAAGTACTGTAGATATTGATCAATATTATTAATAAATTATTTTAAAAGTTAAAGGCATTCTATATTATTGGATGCAAGGATCCTACATTTCTTCAATGTTACGGAGTATCAAAAGATGATGTCACTGGTGATTATAGTCTAGTCATCCAATACATACCATTGGGATCTTTACGAAATAATATTAGTTCGGTTGTACAAATGAAATGGATAGAAAGAGTAAATTTATTATTCTATATAGCTTATAACCTTCAATTGATTCATTCACTTGATATTATCCATTGTAACTTATATGATAAAACTATATTGCAATATGATATATATGATGCATATATAAGTAGCTTTTCATTATCATTATCAGTTAATGAGGCATTGACGGTAAAACCAGAATTGATTGGAAACCTTTTATATTTGGCGCCGGAAGTTTTGTCTGGGAATTCATTCATCAAAGCATCAGATATTTACTCCTTTGGAATAATTATGTGGGTAATTTCTTCAGGAAAGTCGGTTTCATCTGCATTTAATGCAGATAATCAATATTCGTTTATGTTTAATATAATTAGAGGAATACGACCAACTATTTGTGAAGGCACAATATCATGTTATTCAGACCTTATGCAAAGATGTTGGGATGGAGACCAAACCAAACGACCATCTGCCTTAAAAATTTGTAAGATTCTTGCTAGTTGGAAAAATAATCTCATAGCATTTTATGAATCTGTTCCAGTCAACTATGACGAAGATAAAGAAATTGATTTTATTAGTGTTCCCAAATCTCTTGTAGATTCTACTAAAGTAAATGAAGAGGAACTTTTTGGTAATTTAATTTAGTTTAATGTATTTCAAAATAACGTTAAATTAATACTCATTAGTTAAAATTTTACATATTATAGTAAATGAAATCAAGAAAAAATACATAAAATTTATACCATGGATTGATCTAAGCAATATTTCAAAACTTGACGAAGGCCACTTTGGTATGTTTAAGCATAGTATTATGGTAAATCGCTATTTTTTACTTTATTTTTTTATGTTTTTTTTTGTATTTGTTTAGGATCAGTTATCAAAGCCTATTGTACAATATTACATAACTATGTCGTTTGTAAGGCACTAATAAATCTGGAAGATATAAATGGTAAATACTATTCTGCATTCATTCATGAATTAACAATGCATACTAGGTCAGATCTTTGTGAAAATATCGTTCGATTTTTGGGAGTCACTAAAGGTATTTTTGTTTTATCAAGCGATTTATTAGACATTAAATTTATTAAATTATAAATTATTACGTACGAACGTATGATATAGATACTATTAATAACCGATATTTCCTTATAATGGAATATGCCAATGATGGGAATTTAAGAAAATTTCTTGAAAAAAATAATTATTCACTAAATTGGAATCAAAGATTGGAGCTTGCTTGTGAAATTACAAAAGGATTATGTTATTTACACAGTGAAAACATTATTCACAGAGATTTGGTAAGATAAACTTAGATAATATTTTACTACTCAGATGCTTAAATTTAAGTATTTTTAATCACAAAAAAACTTTAAATAGCATGATAAAAACATTGTAATCCATAAAGGCAAAGCAAAGATAACTGATTTTGGAAATGCTCAAAGCATTAATACAGAAACAAATATACATAATGAAATTTTTGGAATGATTGCGTTTTTAGCTCCTGAATTACTTAAGCCATCCAAATCGGGTAGTACACCATATGGCAAGAAAACAGATATTTATAGTCTTGGAATGTTATTTTGGGAATTATCTAGTGGCCATCCACCATTTAAAGGTCACTCAAATATCCCTTTATATTGCAATATTATTGAAGGCGTTAGAGAAGATATAATTTCTGGTACTCCCGAAGAATATAGTAATCTTTATAGTAAATGCTGGAATGGTATTCCATATGAACGTCCAGACGTTGAATATGTGCATGATGAGTTGTGCAAGCTTTTAGAAAGGATGGAGAATCCTGACACGGTGACTAATCCTGACACGGTGACTAATCCTGACACGGTGACTAATCCTGACACGGTGATTAATTCTGACACGGTGACTAATCCTAGGGGTATATATAATCTTTTTTATTTGAATTTAAAATTTATAATTTTATAGATATTTATCTTATAACAAAAATTTTAAGATTGTAGTGTCACAAAAGCAGATTCGACCAAAATATTTTTAGATTCGAAACAACTAGATCTATCTATTAATGATGGAGATGAAAAATAACCTATCAATCGTTGATTCTATTATATAAAATTAAGACCTTACAAATTAGAAAATAATTTTAACAATGGAAAATAATTATAATTACTACTTGTTATCGTTATTGGCAGTTTTATATTACGTAGATACAACCTTTATATTTAGGCCGACCAATTTAATTCGGTGGTTTACGTTATTCTCCCTCCCCTCCATAATAAAAATAAAAATAATAATAACGGGCTATTTCGGAAAAGTTTATATAATACGGAGCATTTTGGAAAAACAATTTTTCTGAGAAAAAATTTTTGAATTTAATTAGTCTGGCCTTACGATTAGTTTTTATTTTCAATATTTCAATAAAAGTTACATGATATACAAAGCCTAATTTAGAGACACACAAATGCTGCCAATTAAAAATTTGTAAGGATTTAAATTTTTAATATATCGGACTTAGGGATGGCAACGGTTACGATCGGCTACGATTTTCATAGTCGATTTTCTAGAAATTGAGATGATTTTTTATTTTTG